TGCCTGTCCCCAACATGGCGATCAGGTAGGTTCCCTTTTTGGTTGAATCTCATTTTAATGCAGCTTAACAAGTATATTCATTCCCAGATGTATATTTGTATATATGCCTATATGCCATCCTGCAGTGGCTCAGAAATGATTTGTGTCACCCCTTTCTCGCGGCTTCTGTCATAACACTAGCCACTAGCCATAGCTTTCCAGCAATTGAGACCATCTGTTTAACCTTGGATTGCGGCTTCTGTTCCTACACGGTACTTAACTTGAGCAATCAGGATGGTCTAAGAAGCCGCTGATTCAGACCCCGACCAACCAGACCACCCCAAGAAATGTATGACTTCGACCCCCACATACCATCTATTGCCATTTACACGCTCTCTCTCAATCCCTTTATACTCCTATGCACCCCGGCACGATGATCCCACGTTATGAGATCTTCCCGCCAGTCAATGCTCATCTAAATGATGTTGAGCCAATTAATTCTGTTCTTGGTGCGCGATTTTTCTCGAACCCAAAGCCCAAAAACCTCATTATGGTAATCCATGTTTCAGATGCGTGACACATATTCACACCTCATAGGTCACAGGTAGAGATGCGAACTTGCACGCGCAGTCTAGTAAGCATCGGTTTTAGTGTTTTAGTGTTCAGGTGGCGATCTCCTTGTTGGAAGCTTGGTCGGTGGATACCAAGGGCTGCGGCACAGGGTTTAGGCCAATAGCACCCCCACCGCCTTGAAGCGGCACTGTGCAAGGAGCTTGATTCTGCTCGGGCGGAGACGACCCGCCTGAAGGCCTCGTCAGGAAACGCAGTGTCCCTGCTCGCTCAGATTCCGATCAGGAATCCTTGATGTGTTGGCGATTTTCCTTGTGTGTTTTGCATACCTACCCCAATGTCCCCGACCTTAATTCACCCTTTTGGGCCGCATTTGCGACCTCAAGAAAGACGTTGGGCATGTGAAGCGCTACGCCAGGCGGAGGCAGGGCAAGCCAAGCCTGTGGAAGACGGTGCTCGCGCAGAAACAGAGGACTGATCAGCTTGGGATACAAGCTTGGGAGATGCGCTGAAAAGGTTACGTGGGGAGCTTCTCATTCAAGTGTTGCTTGCATAGGTTGGAGCAGGGATGTGGTAGAGACCGTTATTTGCAGGCATGTGACCTGTAGCAGTCGCGCTAGAGCGACATGTTGAATCCCCCAAGCTTTAAGTCCTGAACCTAACTGATCCGCTAGAAATATCGATTTTGGTGATAGGGTTCTAAGTTACAATAATCCAATATCAAGGATTGAATGCGAACATTTTTCCACAAACCACTTTCGTATCATCAAAGACTCAAGACTGCTACAGAGCTGCCACGTTGAGGGTTGGGGCTGCCAAAGGATCAGGCATATCTGCAAAACAGGCTCTGAGCAGGCCAGCTCTCCCACACAAGGTTTCATTTAGGATGGTCCAGGATGCTGAGTATGATCGGATGAGCTTCAGCTCTTATTTAGAAGTTTTCCTACATGATCCCATACAATGCTGAGAGAGACACCCAACATTCCCTTACCAGTCCTGTCTGTTGTGAGGGAACAGAACCTCTTGTTACGAAATGTAGAAATTGCAACCTGTCTGTCTTCCAGTGTTTGTTTGGAGGCAAATCAAAATGACAACGCATGTGGCTGTGGCAGGAGATGCGCGCGCTGCGCGAGGACTGCCCCGTGTGACCTCCGTTAGGGCCACTGGTTTGTTTCTTGCTGGCAGGCTCATGGGTAATTATGGGTTTCGAGGTGGGATAGCTGTCAGGAAGTTCAGGGTATGCATCTCCCTGCAAGGCAGTATACACGAACCCAGGTTGCATGGTGGAGATTGGATCTATGACTTGGGCAGTCGGAATCCCTGGGCTCCGTGTTTGAGGGTTTTGGTTTGACCCGCGATACACAACATCACAAGTCCAATGTGATGAGTTGGCAACAAGCCCTTCATGCAATACATCATGAGCACTCGCTTACATCAGGCTTATGAAGGAGAAACCATAAGGTTGTGCGGCTGCCAGGCTATACACTTCCAGCACTGTTTTTTTTTGCCGCTGCTAGATTCTTAGTAAGTATCTGCCACTCATAACTTCGCAATGAAGACGGCGCTTAACTCATCAACCATTGTATCAAGCTTCTTGTAATTTCGCAGTCTCAAGAAAAGCAACTGACGACTATTGACCCGAATGATTGGACTAAAAGGACTGGATTCTTGTGTTGATGTTACCTGCAATGTTCATTGCGGTATGCCTTCCCCTCAAATACCGCTGATTTGATAATGTTGAATTTCTTGCGAAATCATCAACAGTGATTCATACTCAACATACAGTGGGGTAATCAATCTTCTTCTGATACTCTATTGCTTTTTGTTGCTTCTATCACCTTATCTAGTCCTTCTGGGATGCATTCATCAAAACATCCTTTCGTAAATCAACCTTTAAGTCGGTCTGAGTATCTTGACTGAGTGGCAACCAAGTACTGTCTACTAATGTTGAAGGAGACCGGACTCATTTTCTTGAAAGAACGTCAGTTCATCTGTCTAATATCATTAACGGCAGTAGACTTCCTTTTCCTGAGCAACTAGGTCCTGTCATTATTTGTGAAAATGTAAGCCTAGGCGCCACATCGTATTTCGATTGCTCGAAATTGTATTCATTCACGCTTATGGGTCTCACGATTGGAGTTAGCGTGTTATTCTTTCCTCAACATGATATAGAAATTGTTTTGCAACGTGTTATGACAGTATGCCTCACTACATCCTAAGCATGTAGTTCATTTCTTGATAGCAGCATTTGCCATATGCAAGAGGCTGTGATATGTTTGTTCGAATCTGACGGCATACGTTGATGAGATAGCTGTGGATTGTCAAATGATGGCTCTTACTAACTCTCCTAATTGTCTTAGGAAATGTGTTAGATGTAAACAAACAGAAGCTTTCGCATATTTCAGAGGATGTCATTTTAAGCCAAGGTAGGTATTTCATGCAATATAAATACATGGTGACTTGTTTCGAATGCATAGAGTCATGAGACAATGCATTGTAAATGCACAGTGATTTGTCTCGAATGCATGGGTGCTATGACACAATGCAGTAAGAAAAGGAAGCATGAGTTAAGCACATAAGCATAATGTAGCCACATGCCAGAAGAGGTTGCTGCTTACAACTCTGCAATGACTACAACTCTGAAGCCAAACCAAATCCTATGCTCATACCCATTCTGGTCCGGATGGAACCGACTTGGTTTTTGTTTGTGCTAGACGCTTTGTGTGGGTAGTCGTGATTTTGGGGAAATACAGTCCCTTTTGTTTGGATAGGCGTAATGGCGCAGGTGTTATGATGTACCCTACGTGGGGGTAAGGCGCCTGCAGTCAGCCCAACTGGGAATGATATTGACTAGCTGCCAATTCATTCACAGGGACATGGCAGAATCAGTTGTTCATCCAAGATTTAGGTTTTGAACAGATTTGGGTGATTTAAGCCGTGCATTGCCTGAGCTTTGGATTTTGGGGACTGTTACAGGGGCGCTGGTGCTCCCAAAGATCGCTAAGCATAAAAAACAAAGTAGCCAGAGTAACACTAGGCATGGTGGTAATAATGGAGGCAATGGTTATTCTGGTTATGGTCAAAACAACAAAAGACAAAATGAACAGAGTCACATCCATGAGGGTGATCATATTCATATTAGTAGGAAGTAGAGGTAAGGAAGGATTGTTCGCGCTTCTCTTCGCCTGAGCCAGGGGCGGCTCCGATTTCCAAAAGCATCTCTTTCATTGAAAGCAAAACATGAACATCGGTCAATAGCTTTCCCCTTCCTTCTTCTTGTGCGTTCATAGAATGGACAGGAATATGGAAACTGCCAGCATCTGCAAGCGTCAAACACCCTGAATTTTTGCTTTCGAGGAGCTTGCCACCTCCAAGGCAGAGGTTGACCGTTTGAGGTCGACCCGAGAAAGGCAACCGGGAGAGGACCAGAAGTTGCGGAGCACAGACTTTAGGGTCTAGGGCTCTAGGGCATTAGTTTCGGAGTTTGGGTCCCGAGCTTGAGGGCACTCACTTTTCTGGGTGCTGGGTGTTTGTTTGAAGTCGTACATCTAGGGCCGAGCGATATGATATGGGGTCTACTTACGCTTGTCAAAGCACATTGACGTTTGCCTCAGCTGCTCCTAGGTCCCTCGAAGCATAGGCTGGTCTACGCTTTCTGTAGTTTAGTGCACTTGAGTCAGCAGTTCCTTAGGACCTACCATCTGTAGGAAACCGCCTTGCTTGCTCTAGGATGTCTCCTCAGCCATTGTGGCGCAAGATATTTAGGCTTGGTGGCCCCGCAGTTCTCGAACCCGCTGCTGTGGAATCCTTGGCATCTTGGCTTTGAGACATGAGTATAAGTGCATGCATATATATATATACATATCATACATCTATATCAATCTCCTTGTAGAAGTCTTCCGAGGACCGCGGAACCCAGGCGTCAACCCAAAGACGTTAGCCTTGATCTCAATGCACACTTCACACCTCTTCGACTCTTCCACGAACCGACAACTCAAGCATGTTTTGAACCTTGTTTCCGTCCAAGGGACAGAATCCTAGAGCTCTAAACCGCTGCTTTTTAGCTTTGCTGAATAAGGTCAGCATCATGGAGGCTCTGCCCAACAGGAAGCTGGCCAATGCTTGAGCACTCTGCTTTTGTTTTTGGCCTGGGCTGGGGTGGCAAGTTGCTGTCTGCTTACCTCACTGTTCAAGTGTGCTATTCCACCACCGTCCCGTGCGGTTATTGGTAAGTTGTTGCATCTGCCTGAGCGAGAACCTCGATAGTCTGATTAAGAAGCTATTCATGATTTGTAAGAGCCCATGATGGTAGACCACGTCGACCACTGTTGGCTTTACTTTGGAGCAGCCCCGCCTTGTGCAATCTGTCTTCCTCCTCATGTATTCAGAGCCAGTTCCCGCCCAAACGGAAAACCAGACTACACGGCCTTTGCCATGAAGCCTGTCACCAGGATTGTGCTAGCCTTCGGCTCCTTCCAGAAGGGGGATTGCGCGCGAGATGTCAAAGTGGTGCACTCAGAATTCCCCAAGATCCTGGGCCTCACAGGCTACGATGTGATGCCCGGCTCTGCTTAAATGACAGCTTTTTGCAGATAATGTCAGAAGAGCGCAGAAGGAGGGGGTTTCTCTCACAAGCATTTCTCGCATCGAATCCACCTCAGGATGGACCTCCGAAGCAAAGACCGGATCCTTCCGTGTGTTCGGGTTGGGCTGAGGGGCAATGGATCCAAACGACGACAAGATATCATCCCACATTTTTAAAAGTGCGATCTTGCAGGTTCTTCATATGATTGCAGTACAAAACACGCGAAGCAAACGTATGGAAACAAGATGCTTGAATCTTGGACAGCGTGCTGATTGAGTAGCGTTCCCCAGCCTCCCTTCGGCTCACCGCTGGTCATCGACTTCTTTGAGCTATCCTGTCTTCGGGAAACCCTACAAAAACAAGGAAGGTTGCTAGAATTCTGTTTGGAATGCAACTACAACTTACAGTAAGATAGTTTCCTTGCTTCTGGGCTTTTTGAAGATCATGGGAGGTCACTATCCCATGTAGGCCGTGCTTTGGCCCTAAGGCTCGTCAGTTTCAGAGCCGCGGATATCAATTCTTCAACAGAACTCACGCACGGAGGGTGTCTCTTGAGCAAAAAGGGTGATGTGCAACAGTGGACTAGAGCAAACATGGATCAGCATATCACAGCTGCCTGTGAAGTTTCCAAGAGCAATCCAGGAACGACCCGGTGGAAGGTAACGCTCTCGACTTCAACTCCCTCAAAGATGCGAAAGTTTTGGTCGTCTGCACCTCCAGCAAGCTGGGCTTCCCGCCTCCCAACCTCATGCAGTTCGCCCACCACCTGTGGCACGGCTGTTTTACAAAGACAGCTCCTGGTTTAGGTCGATAGGATTTGCCGGGGATAAGTAGTTCAGGACCAAGCCGAAAGCCATACGAGGATGAATGCTCTCGCCTGCAAGATACTCCTAACTTCAACACTTTGGCAAGCACCACAATGATCTTCCGAGCAGCTTCTGGAGCAGCAAGGCTCATTGAAGACTTTAATCTGAGAAGCAATGGAATAAACATGTTGCTGCAACACCTTCTTTTATTCAAGACTCCCATAGCTCAAGCCCACGTGACCTGCGCGTCTTGGTTTCCATACAAAAGATTCATATCAAAGGCCTTCAAACGCTTTGTTGTTGATGGTATGGGCAGGAAGTAAGACCAACTGTGAGAAACAGCTCCCAGCATTGGGGTTTCCAAGCTTGAGGGCAGCCCTTGTCAAAGCGAAACAGTGCTCTGCGTTGCACAACTCACAACCCTAAAGTGCCATTAACCCCGAACAGCAGACCCTGAATCCTAAACAATATTCTCGAAATCCCACACCCCAAACTCCAAACCCAGCAGCTGATTCAGTTCCAAAAGCACGCTTGAACAAATTAAGCTCCAAACCCAAATCTCTAGACCCCAATCTCTCCGACCCGCTGGTAGAGGTCAAAGTCAAAACCATCGGCCTCAGACCTGCAACTGCATCGAATAGACTCTGGAACCAGCTGAGGCTGACACTTGCGACCACCAGCCCAGGGAGCCTCTCGCACTTGAGGCACGTGGTTTGCGGCAACGGCCAGGAGATGTATGAAGAGACCTACATGAGCCCAGGCTGTTCTTGGAAGTATTTGCTGAGTGCATGTTTTCCGTCTTGGAGGTAGATGGGAATGCGCTTATATCAGAACTCGTCTGGAATGTAGGAGAATGAGAGGTGGAGATTGCTTTAAGTTTCGGCAAGAAATTAGAAGCACCGTGTGTCAGGGACATATGCGCGTTATAGAATCTGAAGTGGGGCTTGCAAAAGGGTTTCAAGAACACCTCAGGAATAAGAAGCGCAAGGACTCTTAAATTCTGAAAAACGACATTTCAGGAACATGCCCCGCTACATGGACATGCTGCTGGAGAAGTGCGGCTCACGCAGATTCTATGAGCGCGGGGAGTTCGGCGAGCCCCATGCTCCCACCGGTGCCGACGCCTGCGATCCGAAGGAATGGTCCAAAGGAATCTTGACTGGACATGGTCAGTTTCAACTTCTCCTCAATCTATTAAGGTTCGGGATATATGGGATTGGTCCTCAGGAATTAAGGCTTGCAGGCATGTTTTCGGACAAATTCTGGCTGGTGAAGGGGTCATGCATGGATGCCACACTGATGCGTGCACATACCGTGCCCGCAGTCATTCCTAAACGTATGTGCATACACATGCAAGCTTATGTGTGTGCATATGTCTTCCTTGTCCGTTCGTTCATTCCTCCGTTCTTTTGTTCGACAGTTCATTCGGTCACCAAGTTAGCCAGCCAGCCAGTCAGTCAGTCAGCCAGTCAGCATCTCCATTTCTGCTTCATTTATTGGCTTGTCTATACAGATACTTTGGCTTGTATACAGATACATGTTGCTGCATAATTACACGTTGCCGACTACCATCCCTTGTCTGGTTTGCCGCGCGTTTGTTTGACTGTCATCTACATGTAGACATTTGGCATGCACATGCGGGGATTTATACAAGCAGGTTCAGCAAAAATCTGGCGGATACCATGGCCCCAAGTATGATTTCTACCTTCTGGTCTGTTCCTTCAGGAATGTGGATGGCACTGACGGACACCATTGTAGCAGATGGTGATGGCACTCAGTGGGAAGCCACGGCCTGGGATGGTTTGTGGGCCAAGAAGCCATCCCCGGTCCACAACAAAGTCACGGAACCTCTGCTTTCAAAAAGAGCCATGCGCTTGGAGTTCTGTGGTACTTGAGTCTCCCGGTTTTCCACAGTTGTCCTTGGACGCATGGGGAAGATTTTCATATGATAGGATTCTCAAGCTTTTCCTCTTCCCGTTGATGTGGCTTCTTCTTTTTCGGATCGGCTCGGGTTCACGATTCTCCGCTGAAGCGCCCGCAAGCTTGTGTAACCCTCAACAGGAACAGGCCCTGATCTTGGGTTGGAGAGTTGGAGAGGTCAGTTGAAGAGCGTACGGGGAGTGCTGTCAAAGGAGTGCTGTCAGGCACACCCCGAACCCAAGAGAAGGAGCATGCGCCATGTGGTCTTGACTTTGGCGGTTGGCGGTTGCAGCCACGAAATTCATCTTTTTTAATTGAAGGACCGGAGAACCTCACATGTGTAGTTTAACCTAATTTGAATGAAATGATATCAGGATGCCGTCGCCCGCTGAAATGAAGAAGAAGGAGAAGAAAACGAGACGAACACCAGGGAAATGATTCGCTGAAAAGTCTTAGGGGGCCACCCCTTGCGATTTGAGATTTGGGGACTTGATTGCCAGAACTATCTTAGGGGTACACCCCTTGCGATTTGAGATTTGGGGACTTGATTTTCTGAAAACATCTTAGGGGGACCCCCCTTTGCGATTTGAGATTTGGGAAGATGATTCACGAACAAAAATCTTAGGGGGACACTGCTTGCGATTTGAGATTTGGGGACTTGATTTTCTGAAAAGAATCGTAGGGGGGCACCCCTTGCGATTTGAGATTTGGGAAGATTATTTACGGAATCTTAGGGGGACACAGCTTGCGATTTGAGATTTTTGGACTTGATTCTCGGCAAAAATCATAGGGGACATCCCTTGCGATTTGAGACCTGGAAGTGTGTGTGGTAGGTTGTGGGCTCTCTGTCTGTCTCAACAGACACAACCCTAAGAATCCAAGCTACCAGAACATGTTTTTGTAAAAGCAATTTTGTGGTAGTCTGGATTCTTAGGGTTGTGTCTGGTGGGAGGTGACATTGTTCAGTAAGGTGTTGAAGTGATATTGTGCAACCAACAGATGTTGACGTGAAATTGCGTTCTGTCTCAACAGACACAAGCCTAAGAATCCAGGCTACCAAACCCTTCGAAGTCTCCGCTGTTTGCCCCTAGCCCTTCAAATTCTCCACTTTCACGGTTAGACTGTTTGCCCCTTACCCTTCACATTCTCCACCTTCACGGTTAGACTGTTTGCCCCTTCTCCTTCAAATCATCCACTTTTACGGTTAGACTGTTTGCCCCTTGCCCTTCAACTTCTCCGCTTTTGCGGATAGACTGTTTGCCCCTTACCCTTCAAATTCTCCGCTTTCACGGTTGGACTCTTTCCCTCTTGCTTTTCAAAATTTCTTTGCTTTTACGGTTAGTTAGACTGTTTGCCCCTTGCCCTTAAAAATTCTGCGCTTTCACCACCTCGAACGAAGTACACCAGGACTCGTTTGGTATAGAATTGGTATAAGCTTCCTCGACATCATCGTTCATGAATGATCCAAATTTTCCGAATGCTCCGCACGGGAGCGTCATTTTCTTCGAATTTGATGAACATAAATCGACGAATTTCAAGGATGCTCCGCGCGGGAGCGCGACTTTTGAAGATATAAAGACGATAGAAAAGCAAAAAACGCGAATGTCTTGAGCGGGAGCGCAATTTTCGAGTGAGCAAAATCTTGAATTTTGAGGATGTCCCGCACGGGAGTGCGATTTTCGTGAATCGGCGCGACCCGTTCGGTTACGGACCCCTCTGGCATACTTTACAGTAAAGCCAAGGTCACCTTTTTTTTCATCGAAAACCAACATAGGACGCCGACTTTTTGAGGATGCTCCGAGCGAGAGCGCGATCTTGGAGCGACATAGGGCGCGTCCAAAATGTTTGCGCGATGGATAAGCACGCAGGCATGGCGGGCGACAGCACATCTAACATCTAGAACCCCACAGGGTATGTGGGGAACAAAGAATCTTCGGAACCCCGGATTGAAAACCTCAAGCATATGGGAGGCGTCCAGTAGGAGCATAGGCTACCAAGCTGCCAAGCTCTTGAACTCCGCTTTTCTGGGCATCCTATCGGACCAGGATGAGTGTTCAGAAGGCAAGCAGGCAGCTTTCAAGCGCTGTGCTGTCATTTGATGTTAAGGATCATATATGATCATACTGACCGCATGATACTCTTCACACTTTCGGAAGGCAAGAACTTATGACTTGGCCAGAAGGTAGCCTTGGGAACCCCACCAAGTCGGGCCAGGGGGCTTTGCGGGTTGGGCTAACCCTTGAGGAGTGGGGCCGGGACGTCCTGGAGAAGCAGATGGAGAAAGCGAAGATCCCGGTGCCACCAAGCTCCGTTTTTGCAAAGCTCTAAAGAGGATGGTGGCTTCACTGTTTGATCTACACCAAAGCCGTGTCCACATTGCAGTGCGCAAGTGCATGTACACTTGTAAATCCTGTAAACATGACACGAAGTACTTTAGCCGCAAACACATGTAGCTGTGGATGTGGAAGCCTTGTAAGATGCAATGCAAGTAGTTCATAACTAGGAAACCACAGCATGTGAAGCCATTGAATCGAAACGAGGCCGCCGTTTTGTATAAGCAAAGTTGCAAAGAATGGGCAGCTTGCTTTCCAATGAGCCCGGAATGGACTGGACCGACACGGACAGGTCCGAGGGCTCAATGGTGCTCGCGAATTCGAAGAGCTACAGCTTCTTGAGGTGAAGCGGGGGGTGAGTACAAGTATTTGGGAAGAGAACAAGGGTCCGGATCATAAACGACACCTTGTACCCCAAACATGGAGCTCTGAGCCGTACGCGATTATACGAACGGATCCACTCCTTAGCTTCTGAGCCGTGGCGTGATTCTCGCTTACCCGCTCGGGCTGTCAATGCGCCTCAAGTTTTGCAGCCCTGATCCTTGGGCCCTGACCTTCACTGGAAGCCAGAAGATTCTTCAGCCGATGGTTTTTGACTTTGCGTAAGGGTGTCTGAGGGCAGGATTATAGGCAGCAGCCCTAAAGAGCTGCCCAAGTTGTAAAGATGATTGCATGAGTTGTAAGGCCTGGCCATCTTTGTTGATGGACGTGGCCGCGTGAGCCGAGCTCACTTGTTCTGTTGCTAAGCTGCCGCCCCTAGCCAGCTCTGCGCCAAAAAGAGGGTTGCACCAAGGACTCGGAAAGTGCACGCGAAGCATCGACAGGTTACCACTTCCAGTCTTGCTGCAGGCCTCAAGAGACAGATTACCCTAGAAATAGTCCTCTGTACCCGCCGTCCAGCGGCTACACCACCCAGCCGACGCCTCTGTTCCCATTTGTCCTTGAAGTGTTTCTCTTACCAGAAACGGAGCCTTTGCACATGTGGAGACCCGGGAGAAGAGGTACAACGCCTCAAAGCCAGCGTAGCATTCGAACCTAGAGCTTGCCCGAAGTTCCACGTCGCTCCGAAACCCGCTGCCACCGCAAAAAGTTGCACAAAGACGCGGATATATAGAATCTGGTTAGAGGGAGCCCCCGAGGCATTTGGACTGAAACTGGCCTCGGGCAACCTCAGGATTCTGTAGCCAGGACAGCTTAAAACGAAGCAGAATGAAAGGGGTTGCCTTTTCAACCTTTCCATGTCGTGCACCAGGCCTCTTTTAGGTTTCACTTAAAAGCTTGGAATTACAGTGGAGCACTGGAGCACCCCAAACGATCTCTGCTTGTTGCACTTAGGTGCGGCTACAAGGCTGTATGGGTTGCAGATGTTTTTGTATCCAAGTTAGAGGCTCATTTTCGCGTGTTGGAAAAGACCTGCGAAAGCTGCAGGAGGACTGCGCAGTCCATGTGAAATAGGTGCCGCCCTCCCTAGATGCATGATCTTTGAAGCAGGGTAGCTCGCCATTACTCGCAATCCCCGGCAGAAGCTGACCCAGATCATTTCTTCTTGCTCGATGCTCTCTGGTCTAGCATGCTCAGAGCAGTCTTCAGGAGCTAGCAGCTACAAAGGCAGCCGAGCCGCGTGAGACAGGCGCAGCAAAAGAGGACTTTGTGCATTCTTGCGGAATACCTAAAAGGGGACCCCTCGCTCTTAGAAACTCGCATATGGCTTGCGTGCAGCTGTTGTTTTTGAAGCTGTTTCTGGTGAAAGGGTCACGAGGTGGAGTGTCGCGGCGTTGGAAGTATTTTCTAGGGCACACGGATGGCAGGGCTGTGGAGGATTCAGATCCTGCGCTGGTTGGATGCTTTGGAGCTTGAGGTTTTCGAACTAGGGCTTTGGGACTTGGGGCATAAGATTTAGATTTTTGGCTGCCGGCGCGGCCTCCGGGATTGACTTCTTTGCTCCTCCGGTTTGTGCTGCTCACCATTTTGTGAGATTTTCCATGATGCTGACGCAAGACAGTCAGATCCACCGAGTAGCAGTGAAGGCAAGCTCCAAGAGATACGCAGGCAGGCCTGACGAACAAAGGAGGACATGTTGCTCAACAAATTAATGGCTGATACGGGAGCCAAAGATTTTGTTTACAAGCGTCGCTGCAGGACACCCTCAAGCAGGACATACTCAAGCTCCAGCAGGACAGGCGATGCAGTGTGCGTGGGACTACCGAGTGCAGGATCTAAGGCGAGTGGACTGAGACACGAGTGACGAAGGGCTGAAGTATAACGCATACTTGAAGGTTCATGGTGTTTA